GCCTGGAGGAACAGGCCAAGAGGGACCCTATTCAACAAGGACAACAGCCAAGTCGCACACATGGGAAGGAAGACCCCTTGCAGGACCAGGCTGGGAAGCCCCTGCCTGGGGAGCTGCTCTGAGGACAGGGACCGTGAAGTTTGATGAACCAGTGGTGTGTCCTGGCAGCAGAGAAGGCCAATAAGTTGTGACCATATTAGCAGCAGAATCCAGCAGCTGCCTGCGATACCTGCGAGGAGGTCGTGTGGTGGCACGGATGGCTCAGATGATAGGTTTTACAGCCTCTATCCCTAGAAGTTTCCAAGAACAGAGTAGACAAAACACTGAGCAACCAGTTCTGTTCTCACATTCAGCCTGCTCTGAGCAGGAGGTTGCACAGGAGTCCTCCCAGGATCCCATCCAGCCCAAACGACACGTGGTATTTCTGCAAATCCCTACAGGGACGCAGCGTCGCTCCTGTGCTCAGGGCTAACAGAGTCAGCCTCTTCTTTTAGCCACTAACACTAGAATGGGGAGCTGAGGGGATCACAACAAGCTCAATAATAAGCGTAAAAGACACTTGCTGTGAGTAGAGCCCCAAGGCCGAGCTTTGTAAAGCCCTGGGAAAGCTCAGCTCAGCGCCGAGCCACTGGGGACGAGAAGTCTGCGCCCAGGCTCTTGCAGGAGTCAGCACGGGACTTTGTTTTTTTTTTTTTTCCTTCCTAACACGTCTGTTTTCCAAACCGAGTATTTTAAGACCGACGACTGCCCGCGATCCTATCTAGCCAGCTTAGAATGAACACTGATTTTCTTTGCTGCTTCTTTGATCGAAGCCAAGTGGTTTTCTCATGGGTAACAAGGTCACGGGGTTAAAAGAGCAATATGACAATTACAAAAGTTAAATCTATTGCCACTCCAGACAGCCCCGCTACCCGGAGCCCATTAGCACGTAGTACAGAGCGGTTATCGCAGGTCACTGACACCGGTTCGCTCTAATGGCTTTTCCTGTGTCCTTATCAACCCCGCGCACAAAGTGGCTCACCCTCAGCCTTCCCCTATGATCTCAGGGCGGTGTTTATGGCTATCTAACTGCAGCAGGCACCCGCGGGTCAGCCAAGTCAGCAGACAGTGAGATAGGCCAGGCCAGAGCGATGGGACAAGCTGCAAAGTGTCGGAGATGAACAACGAGCAAGCGGAGCCTTCAAGAAGGAAAGTTTTCCACCCTCCCCCCCGGCCCAAACAAAGTTCAAACCATTTAAAGTTCCCAAGGACACGGGGGAAGGAACTTTACAACCCCAATCTAAAATATACATATATATATATGCCCATAGATATATATATATATAAAAAACGAGAGCTGGTTGCAGGCTCTGTGGGGCACAGTCTGTCTTCAGCACCGAGGCAAAAAGACGAGGAGTGCTGCACCATGGGCAAAAGAGCAGCTCTTCATACAGAAGGGAGGGTGCCGAGGGCCTCACCTTTGAATTCTGGCTCCTAGAAGGGACCTTCTTGCCCCTTGAAGGGAGAACTTCCCTTGTTCTCCCCCATCAACAGCAAGAAACCATTTTGGTGCATCCCACAGCTTCACAGGTTGGTGACTATTCAGGCACCACCACTGTGGTGGCCACGGCCTGCCCCAGCAAATAGCTTCTCCACAGAGCCTGAAGAAGCAGAGATGCCCCATTTAGCACAAAAAAAAGCAAGTCGGAGCATACTCAGAGAACAAGGCTAAACAAAATGCCTCCTTTTTTCACAGAGTGGCTTCCAAAAGGTTCTGTGTGGACAGTTTTTAATATAGAGGATTTCTATTTGCTGTGCATTTTCCTACCTTCCCTAACATATCAAAGCAGTTTCAGTGTTGGAGAGGCAACAGAGCAGGCAGAAATGGCGATGGCAACAAAGAAACGTACAGTAAATACATGTCGACTATCATTGCTCTAAACAACCCAGCCCTGCAGTCCTCCAGAAACCCCTCACTAGCTGAGCAGTGGCTGCATTTTTAAGCCTGTATTTACATCAGATTTTTCTGGCTTTTCATTTATTTATTTATTTTTGGACACTTGTTTTTTCCCCTAAATCGACCCCCTTTGTAGCTCAAGATCAAAGAGCTGGGAGTGCCAATCCCCGCATCTTCCCCAGCGCGTGCAGAAACCTCAAAGGACTTGGTAACCCATTAGCATAAAGTTAAATAAACCCCCTAACCAAACACCAACAGGCAAATGCAGCAACTTAAACCACCGGAATTGGCCTCCAAGCTCAAGCCACCACCTCTGGGGGCTTTTTGCTGCCATCCCGCTCTTCGCTCACTCAAGCTTTGGGGAAAGACAAAACAAAACCTGATTTTTCAATTTTTGCTCTGTAAATCGAAGCGAACCCAGGCCTTCGTCTCACAAGACAAGGCTCCTGACAGCTGCTCGAGATGCTCCCGCAGATAAACCCCGCTGGCCCAGACCTCACCTCGCCTAATTCCCTTTGGCCCCCGATCAAAGCACTGCGTGCGCTTTGGTCGACGGCAGCCTAGAAGATAAAAACGGCCGTGGCGCAAACCACCCCGCCGCAGGACTCTTGTGTTTTTTTCTTTAGATATTATCGTCTCCAACCACCTTCTCTGCTACCTCAAGGAGACGACTAGGGTGATCCACTGGCACCAAATAGCGGCCTGGTGCAGCTTAAGATCACTTGGCCACCATTTGGGTCAACCCAGAAGATGATGAGTGACCAAGACCTGGCACATACCACTTCTTCCATCATCTGGTGGCTGTGGATTTAGCAAAACACCCCAAACCACATCCTCAGCTCCTTGTTTTTCTTTATTTTCCTCAGAAAAGGGCACTGTACCTTTGTCCAAAGCCAAAGGATTCACGCTTGCTTGAGAGCGACCCAACAGCCGCTGCCATCGCACTGAAGGTCTACCAAGGAGAAGGCAGCTCCTGGTGAACCATAAGGCCACACAGAGCACACAGAGGTGCGCTTTGGAGCTGCCGATATTTCTGCCACCCCACGTTGTCCTCAAGACGCTGTTAGTCAGCAAACTTTGCAAAAAAGGAGCAAAATAAGCCTAAAAAAAGGCATCGCCCATGAGTAGGCCCACGAAGGAGCCTCCGCAGCGGCCCATTCACCGCCGCCTGACCCGCCTTCACTTTCTTCCCCCCTCCTCCTCCTCCTGGCGGCCCGGCTCTGCCCTTCCTGCCGGAGCGCGGCGCTTCCCGGCAGCCCCGCTCGCGCCTGCACTTCGCCTTGGCTGCCGCCGGAAGGATTTACAGGTGCCCGGGCCCCGGCCGCGAGGCCGTGACCGCGCGCCGACCCCCGCGCACAATGCGTGAACTCCTGCCCCCCGATAAGGCTGCCGATAGCAGCGGGGCCGCCTCGCTTTTATTTTTATTATTATTATTTATTTTATTTTTTCTTTTGCTCTTCCCACCCCCCGACTCTTGCCGTAATCCTCGGGGAATTTATAAGCAAGCGGCTGCCATAAAACCCGAGGTGACTGGGAGGTCGGGTTCACTAAAAATAATAAATATCCCCCTGTTTATTCAGTGCGGGCCTTTCGCCACGGCGGGGCCCGGCGTTTAGATAACGCTATTGTAAATGACAAATATTAGGGTGTTTTTTCTTTTGTTTTTTGTTCTTTTTTCCCTCTTCGGGTAACTATCGCGTTATGATCCTTCCGCCTCACCCTCCCCCCCGCCGCCGCTTCCCGCGGCGCTGGCGGCAGCGCTGACGCGGCGGCCAGGTCAGGACGCAGGTCAGAAAAAGGGCAATTTGGGCTTTTCGAGGAGCTGCTTCCCCTTCTGCTCCCTGTTGCCGTCCTAGCGACGCCGCTTCAGCAGCGCCTGCCTTATATTTTACATGCATATAGGAAAAAAAAACCCTTATCTCTACCACAGAAAACTTTCCCTCCTTCCCTAATACCCCTTTAGGCATCTAAACACCCGGGTATTCATCCTTCTGTTAAAGCAATGCACCTTCCTAATCTTGTTCACAACCCATGCACGGGCACCAGGCACTGCTTTGCAGCAGGATGTTCAGTCCAAGAGAAACAAAGCCCCATGTTTGGTGTAAAACCTGCTCCTTCATTCCAGTAAAACATCGTGGCTCCAGAGCCAAAATTACAAAATTATAACACATGAACAGACAAAAAAAAAAAAATTTTTTTTGAAGGGTGAAGGAACCCTTCACCTTCTTGCAAATTCATCTATACACCCTACATAGAAATTAAAAGCTACAATGACGGTTGAAATGCCATCAACAAGAGTCACCTGCCTCTTTTGTCAATAAATACGTAAAACTCAACATTCTCCGTACTCGCGAAGAAACCCGGTTAATCTAGCAGCCTGTGTCACCAGGGATGGGACGTCTCTCGAGGTGCTCTCAGGAATATCGCGATACTCAGGGTCACGCTTTTAGCGGCATGCAACAGCAGGAGCAGCAAGTAAATGCCAGCAGAGAACGCCCTGGGCTTAGCCATATTTCTCAGTGCAACTCAAAGAAAAAGCACTCAAAAAAATCTAATTACTGGAAATTGGAAACTGATACAGCAAAACAGTGGATTTTGTTGGACAGCAGCAAATCTGATCCTGTCAAACAGGAGCCCGTCAAAGCGTGTTTGAAAACTGCAGCGTTTCTCCTAACTCCAACAAAACCTCTAATACTTCTCGGTTCCTCAGTCCGCACTGAATACCAAAGTTTTTGTGGTTAAAGAAAGATTATTTCAGGGAAACTATACAAGCAAGAAATATGTATTTGGCCTATTATAAACCCAGAGTCTACAATGGTTGCAGAAAATATCCTTTCCTACTGCTGGGTGCTGCGTCAAGTAGCTGCGGGGGCTTTTTTACCCCAATCCACCCACCACCACAGGCACAGGCTGATTTTCCATTTCAGGTAATGCACTTCATAATCGGGCAAACACAAATATGACGTTTGCAACCACTTCCTCATGGGCTACGGAATGGGAGACGTAGAACCCAACCTTGTGGTTTCAGGGTGACTCATGGCGCTCACAAGACGCTCACACTTACCAGCACGGAGTATATGTGCAGGCATCGATACACAGGGGAGAAGTCCACCAAGTCCTGAGCCCCAGGCACCTAGGAGACAGCAGACGATCAGCACTCAGTGCACAAAGCACATAGAGCTCAGTGTACGTTCAAGGCATGCAAGTCTGATGGAGCACGATATCAGCAATTTCGGGTGTGTGGAGTTAAGAGTAATTATTGGTCTCAAATTTATTTGTCCATATTTACATTTTAAAGGCTCTCAGGGCAGAAAAAAAAAATAATCTTTCTAGTGCTCCACTTAGGCTCCCCTAGGAAATTCTCGTGTATCACTTGGCCCCAGGATAGCTGCCTCAGCAGAGACACAAGGAATTTCACTTTGACCATGGGCTTAAAGCACAAGTTCAAGCGTCCTGGCAGAGGCCATGCTGGCTCTTATGCAACAGCAAAAGTCTTTTCTCTGGCTTTCTAGCTCAATTTCTTCAAGAGCATTGATGCTGCCATTTGTTCTTCACAAACACCCAAGCCACACAGAC